GGATCCCACATACAGACCGGTTCCCGCTCACTGGCTGAGCGAGGAGCGGGTGCAACACCGAGGGTTGCGATCCCGTTGCCTGTCCCGGTCCGGTACGGGCGCGACACTGAGGGTTGCGATCCATTGCCGGACACGAAAAAAGACAAAAAGGAAAAAAAAAATTGTTTCTTTTGCTGTGCAGAAGCTTTTTAGTTTGATATAATCCCATTTGTTTATTTTTCCTTTGGTTGCCCATGCTTTTGGGGTCATGTTCATGAAATCTGTGTCCAGTCCTTTTATCTCCCTTTAAATGAAGATAATAATGTCCAACTTTATCTACTGTTTTAGAAGATACTATGATTCCTAATCAGGCTCTTAAATTACTTTTACATTTAAAACAAAAACAAAAATTTACAGCACCTGCCCCTATGAGAATGCAAAAAGTACACTATTCTTTCAGATAAGCACTCAGAAATTAATAGTTTCCCCTCCCCAAAGAATGTCTATTTTTTAAAGGAGATATCAGTGGCTTTCACAGGATTCTCAAAGGAGTCCGTGACCTAAAAATGTTAGGAACCATTAGTTTAAAGAGTTTTACAGGGCTGGCCATTTAGCTCGGTTGGTTAGGGTAAGGAGTTCATAACACCAAGATCAAGGGTTCGGATCCCTGTACCACCAGCCAGTCACCAAAAAAAAATAGTTTTATAAGTATGGGTAGTTATTAAAACAGGTTAATTAGATAAATCAAATCAGGATAAACAGATGAACAGAATCTGAGAGTTGAGACCTGGAAGATCATTTAGTCTGGTCATGCTAAGATACCATCAGAATCACTTAAGGGTTGTTATCTCGAGTACTTCTTCCTCCTATTCCCCCTTGAGAATAACTAACCTTCTTTATACAAATATTTATTGAGCACCTACTCCGTGGCAGCTACTGTGCTAGGCACTGGGGTATAGCACTGAACAAAACAGATGAGGTGCCCTCTCTGGTGGAGCTCACAGTTTTATTAAGCCACTGCTAGTGAAGAAAAGACAATGGCTCCCTCAGTTGTTTGGGTCTGGAAGAAGGGTTGGGAACCACTACTACGGTCTACCTTTTTTCTGCCTCCTCTTGCTTTCTGCATTAACCCTTAAATCAGTCATCTGAATTTAACTTGAACCCCTCCAATGATGGGGTACTTTAGACAAAGGGGCTTCTTCCATTTTGAACAGCTATAATTATTAGTGATTTCTACTTTCTCCTATATTGAGCTATAATATTTCTTGTGACTTTCACCCATTTATTGAGTTCTACCATTCAGTAACACACAGAATAAGCATGATTCTTTCACTTGGCATGCTTGCATGTGCAGGAATTAGATTTTTGTATCTCACGCCTGTGCACCTGACAGTTCTTCTCTTTGTTGGGCCATCTTCCCTGTTGTTTTCTGTCATTTCTCCCAGAGAGTATTTCAGTCTCTTCACATTCCTGATTGCTCTTCCCAGGATATGTTCCAGTCTGCCAGAAAACTTCTTAGTGTATGTTTCCCAGAACTACACTTGGAACTCAGATTATGTTCTATCCGGGCAGAATAAGAGCCATGTGTTGGCTTACAGTCAGCTAACACCCTGTCTTCCATGTGAAATATTTGTTTCACCTCTTCTGCACCTATGTGACCAACTTATTGAACCTAAATGAAGAACTTTATGTACGTATACCTAATACATTCTTCGTTTTTAGAATCAGCTGGTAAAGACCTTTTTTGTTTCTTATTTGCAACATACAGTATTTATTCATTCAACAAATATCTGTTTAGCATCTGTGCAATGCCAAGCATTGTATTCCTGAAATAGGCCTGAGTACACAGATGGGGTTCCTGCTCTCATGGAGTTTTGTTTTGTTTTTTGTTGGCTGGCTGGTGCAGGGATCCAAACCCTTGAACTTAGTGTTACAACACCACATTCTAACCAGCTGAGCTAACTGGCCAGCCCCCTTCTCATGGACTTTATACAGACATTTCCAAGTTACTTGTTATCTTTTAATCACATAAACACATCTTTAGATCGTAGTTTGGGGATTGTGATGGTTTTTTAAAAATGACCTCAAGTGGGCCCTTAAATGTTGCCTGACGATCATATTTCATATTTTCCTAGTCTGTTCACTCTCCTGCTCTCTTAGATGACTGTTTCCTACCTTTTTCTTTCTTTTCATGCCTCTAATACTTTTTTTCCCATTCTCACTCTCAGCTGATCTCACTTCCTATTTCACTAAGAGAAAATAAGCAGTCAGACGAGCACTTCCGAGCTCCTGCTGCCTCATGTGTACTCCTCCCAGCATCTGTGCCTCAGGTTCTGCTTCTTTCCTGCTGTGAATGAACTGTCCATACTCTTAGGGGAGGCCACGCCTTCCACTTGTGCACTGCGCCCCATCCCCTCTGGCCTACTTAAGGATATCTCTCTATGCTGGATCTTTCTTATCAGCATACAGATGTGCCACAACTGCCTTTTTCTCTTTTCTTGGTCTCTCTTGAACCCGCACCAGTCAGGCTCTCACACACATATCCTCCCCCACTCTATCACAACTACACTTGTCAAGGGCACCAGTGACCTTCATGTTGCTAAATGTAATACCATCTCTGAGCTTCTGGCACAGCTGGTAACTCCTTTCTCCTTGAACTTGGCTTTCAGGACACCACATTTGCCCACTTAACTGGTCCCTCCTTTTCAGTTTCTTGTGCCAGTTCCTCCTCATCCTCAAATTTTTTTCTTTTCTTTTCTTTTTTTTTTGTCTTTTTTCGTGACGGGCAACGGATCGCAACCCTCAGTGTCGCGCCCGTACCGGACCGGGACCAGCAACGGGATCACAACCCTCGGTGTTGTGCCCGCACCTTGCTCAGCCAGTGAGCGGCCGGTCTGTATGTGGGATCCGAACCCTCGGCGGGAGCGCCGCCACGCTCCCAAGCGGCGCACTGTAGCAGTGCGCCACCGGGCTGGCCCCTCATCCTCAAATTTTTAATGTTAGGGATCCCCCAGTTCTTAGTACTCTTAGAGTCTCAGTTCTTAGTACTCTTTTCTTCTCTGTACTCCATTGGTAATCTCATTCAGTCTCATGGTTTTAGAGGCCATCCAAAAGCCGACAACTTCCTAATTTAATTGTTGAAATTTAGTGCCTGGGTTCAAATTCTGGTTCCACAGTTCAAGCTATGTGACTTTGGTAGTTTACCTTTCTGTGCCTCAGTTTCCTCATTGTAGATACTTCAATATTTACTGAAGGAATGAATGAAACAAAAATAAAACTACTTTAACCAAGAAAAAATGGTAGAGTTCTTAATTTTCTTTGTAGAATCTCTGATAAGAGATTAGAATTATTCTATTTTATGAATAAAGGAAAAAAAATAGCAATTTGTATTACTGATCCCATTCTAACAATTACCACCACATCACACAATTAATTGAATGTCCCTGCCCCAGTGCAGTCTACACTAACGGCTCTGCTGAAATGTCTTCACTGAAGCCACTGGCAACCTAAGTGCCAAGTTCAGTAGGCGTTGTTCAGCCCTTATTATGCTGTACCTCCCTGATGGTCTCATTCTCCTTGAAATTTTTTCTCTTTTGTCTTTCATAAGCCTCTCTGACTAATCTTCCCTCTCTCCTTCTACCTGCTCCTTAAATGTCAATGTTTTCTGGGGTTCCATTCCTACATGGTTCTGTCCAATCCCTCATTAAGCCTCCCACCCCCTCTTGACTGAAACTTGACCATCTCAGAATCAAAAGGAGTTTGAGGCTCTCTGCTGCCCACACTTGCCTTCAAACCATTATTTATCCCCCATCTTAGAAGACCCTCTGTTCCTTTGGGGTATATACCGTTTGATTTTATCACCCTCCTCTTCCCTCCTCGTTGCTGTCATCTACTAACCTCTCCCTCAAGGCTTGAGTATTTCAGCACCTGGTTAACTGTCTTCCCCTCTACCCAACTCCGCCACCATTCTCAGCAACTCTGGCATCCACGGTGGCTCCTCACTTCATTTGCTTCCTCGTCACCTGTGAACTTTTCTCCCTGCCAGTCCCAGCCACTCCCATGAATATCTTGAGCCTTATCTTCAGAAGGTCTACAACCTACAAATGCACACGTGTAGACATCCTGTGTTCTTTCTTTCTCTCTCTCTCTCTCTCTTTCTCTCTCTGCAGCTGGCCAACACAGGGATTGAACTGTGGACCTTGGTGTTATCAGCACCGTGCTCTAACCAACTGAAATAACCAGCTAGCCCCAGACATCCTGTTTTCTTACCACAGCCTTTTCTCTTCCAGCCTACTTGTTCAAGGGCCCCTCAGAAACAATTCTGTGATCTCATTAAGATATCTCTGTTCATTGAGTCATTGAACAGACTAGCCCTCTTCTATCTGAATTTCTCTATCCCACTTACCTAGGAAAACCCCAGCCCTGGATGACTCTAATCATCTCCCATCTCTTCTTTGTACAAACCATCGTATAACTGAGCACTACTAGAGAAAATCACTCCACCTAGCGATAAATTTGGTGATTGTGATTTTATAGTGTTACAGTGGTCTTCTAACTCATCTCCTGACTCATTCTTATCCTCTTCAAAGCCCTTTTCCACCCAGCTGTCAGAGTGATTCAAAATGCAAATCTGATTATGTTGCTCCTCCACTACCTTCACTGTTATCCCTCATCTTAAAAGACTAGTACCTCTCAGACTTTAAAATGAATATGAAGCACCTAGGAATCTTGTTAAAATGCAGGTTCTGCTTCAGAAGGTCAGGGGTAGAGCTCAAGATTCTGCATTTCTAACAAACTTGTTCCATCATCCTTATTTTTCTCATTTTTATGAGATAATCTCCAGGTTTAGTAATCTAGACCAGGAATTTTCAACTTCTAAGTAAAAAATTAGAAGGATTTGATGCTTACCTTATCCTGAAGTTCCAGAATGTCAGATTTGGAGGACATTTTAGAGGTCATTTAGGTTTATTTCCTCATTGTATGGATAAAGTATGGAGCAAAAGAACAAGTTCTAGGCCAGAGATAAGCCAGGAATTTAACTTTCCCAACTCCCAGGGTAAGGTTTTTTTTCCACTATACCATAATGCTGATCCTCAGTTTTAAATTTCTTTGTCTGGCCCTCTGAATCATTAATTTACTCAACAACTGCCGGAGTACATATAGCGTATGCATATCTGTGCCAGTTGTTGGGCATACAAAGTCTAAAAAATAGGGTACCTACTCCCAGGATGCTTGTGGCATAAGGCCAAGGCATCCTCCCCTGTCTTCCCCACTTCTCCCAGATCTTCTTATGTCGTATCTTTTTCTAAGTTTGTAAATGTAAATTCAGCAGAAATAAAAGAAACTTAGACAATTTTATGCATGGAAAATTATGATGGGCTATAAAAGAAAGCTAAGAGTATGAGGGATTAAATTTTTAAATAGGTATGAACAGACAAGGGCTGGCTGGTTAGCTCGTTTAGTTAGAGCATGGTGCCGATAACACCAGGGTCCACGGTTCGATCCCTATACCAAGCAGCTTCCAAAAAAAAAAATATGAAAGGACAAATACATCCTTCCTTTAGAGCAGTAGCTTTACAGTCTTTATTTTGAAGTGACCTACATTTTTACTGAACTCAAAACACCCAACTTGCACATAGTTGTATAAGTGAAAAAACTGTAAACAAGTACACTAGTACTTACTCAGAATATATGTAAAATAGTCTGTTTCTCTTTAAAGTCTGGTTACAACCCACTAATTTGATTTCATAAACCCTAATTATTCTAACCCCCAGTTTGGGGGCTTAGAGTCACAATCACACTGAATGTTGGGCTGAACTGGCCCTGTTTCTGAGTCAGTATAACTGACAGACTAAACTCATGTCTTCCAGTAAAACTTTCTCCTACTGTTACATTATTTATTTATTTTAAATAACATTTAAACCACATTTATTCCAAGAAAGGTTTCTGTCTATGCCTTACCATTTTATTCGTACACTGGTAGCTTTATATACATACTGTATTTCCTGATTGCCATGTGTGGATAAGTACTTTTTTTTTATTTCACGTATGTTTACTCTGTCCCTAGTTACGCTGTTAACTCCACAAGAACAAAGATTGTATATTGTTTCTTTTGGACCCTCCCATTTTGCACCCAGTGGACATTTTTTTTTTTTTTTTTTCCGGTAAGGGGATGGTAATACTCGGCACGGTGTGGTCTGCACCACGCTCAGCCAGCGAGTGCACCGGCCATCCCTATATAGGATCCGAACCCACGGCCTCGGTGCTACCAGTGCCGCACTCTCCTGAGTGAGCCACGGGGCCGGCCCCAGTTGACATTTTAATCGGTCACCCACTGAAATGTGATTCCAGCAGGGAACAGGTGCTTAGCTCTGTCATGGCACTTCTCTCATATCTGCTTCTCATGCCATCCCCCTCATGTCCCTTCAGACCCAAAGTTTATGAACGAACAAACGGTACATGGCCAGCTCTTCACCAGAAGCTTTGAGGATGGCCTTGGCTTCGAATATGCAATGTTCTGTAATGATGCTGAGAAAAGGATAGTTTGCTTGTTTCAAGGAGGTCCTTACCTACAAGGAGTACCTGGGTAAGAATGATAGCCTAGAAGTGTGGATCTAAAACATTTTTTCTTATAGCACCCCAATATATCCATGGACTATAATGAAGGCATTGAAGTGGTAATGCAGATATATATTTATTGACATGGAAAGATGTTTATAATATATTATTAAAGGATATATTATCTAAATTTTTAATATTTTTCAAACAATATTAAAGGATATATATATATTATTATAGGACATAGGGCAATTAGAGTATAATTTGAGGGAGTATCATTAACATGTCAACAGTGGCTTATCACTGACTAGTCAGTAGTATTATGGGCCTTAAAATTTTTATTTAAATTTTTCTTCTGCTTATCTGTATTTTCTAAATTTTTACACAATGAATGTATATAGTTTATTTGATAATAACATAATATAAATTTTCTAAATTATATTTTAGCTTTTTACTTGCTTGTGATCTGATTACTATTAAGTTTCAGTTTTATTACAAATGCTTAAAACTACACTATTATGCTATGAACAAAATAAAGTTAGGGATATGGGTTTTATCTGACATTCAATAAACTTAATGTGGACTAAGTGAACCTTTCATAAGTAAATTGTGTGAAGATACTTGGATAATTTTTTTCTCCTGAGTGGCTCTCTGTTTTCAGAACTTCTAAAAACATTTCTCTTCCCCTCCTGTTGTAACTAGATTTCTTCACGGAGGTGCCATTGCAACCATAATTGATGCTACTACTGGTATGACTGCATTGTTAGCTGGGGGAATTGTCATGACTGCCAATCTCAACATCAATTTTAAAAGGTAAATTTGTATTAATTCTCTGCTTCTCCTTAGGTGTTGTAAGTCAGGTTTCCCAGCAGCAGATCCTGAGACAAAGGTTTGTGTGCAAGTGATAAAGGAAGTTCTCCCAGAAGAAACTAGCAAGGGAGTGGGAAAAGCAGGACAGAGAAGGGAGGAAGCCAACCAAGGCTGAGCTCTCAGCATCCTGCAAAGAGTAAGCCTGATCATGCAAAGGATTTCTGGAATGAAGCTTATGCTTCAGAATTATCCTTACTTCAGGCAAGGGAGCTGGAGTCTATATACTGTTGCACACTTCAGTCATAGGATAAGGGCCATCCTGGCAGCCACAAATTCACAGGCATTTCTAAAATTCTCTGTATTTGAGCCAAGAAGGCTGTAGGGAAAATAACCAAAAAATGGTAAAAGGATCCAAGGGGTTTGGGGTAGAGCACTGACATCCACTACATAACAAAACATACAAATTTTATATAACTTCACACAGAGAAGTAAGAGAGCAGCAAGATGAGTTTGGTATCCATCAAAAACAAAGCTCAGCATGATCTTATTTAATTCTTCAACCATACAGCTGTATTCCTAAAGTAAACAAATAGTATGGATACTGGCACAGGAATAGAGAAAGAGAGTAATGGGACAGAACAGAATTTAAGAACAGAAAGTTCAACGGATGAGGTCTTCACGTGAGGTTTTGTGGGTATCCTACCTCACACAGTAGGGAGCTGTGTTAGTCTGTGTCTGTTGCTTATAACAAAATACACAGAACTGGGTATTCTATACAGAAAACAAAATTTATTGCTTACAGTTTCTGAGGCTGGGAAGTCCAAAGTCCAGGGAACACATCTGGTAAGAGCCTTGGTGGTGGTGACAGTGACAGCAGAATATCACATCACAAAAATGGTGGAGCAGAGAGAGACTAACCTCCTCATTCACTCTCTTTTTAAAGCCCTCCAAACCATGTCCATGACCACCATTTTTAATCTGTTCTTTACAGCATGGTTCTGCAATCTGATCACCTCTTCAAGGTCCCACCTTTCAATTACCATGATAGGATTTCCCACCCCCAACAGTTACAATGGGGATTGAAGTTTCAGTGAGGTTGAGCGGAGAGGCAGGGGGCATTCAGTCTACAGCAGGAGCATTTAAGTTGCTAAACATCTCCATTTTATACCCCAGATCGTTGTATGGTTTATGTGACAGTCAGTAGGGAGCCATGCTTCATAGATTATGGGTTTATTTACTGTAAGTAATCCTTACCAGGACATATCGTACTCTTCCCTGTAGAAAGTATCATTATAAGTTTATTTCAGGGATCAGCCAACTTTTTCTTTAAATATTTTCTGCTTTGAGGGCTATATAGTCTCAATTCTGCTATTATAGCACAAAAGGAGCCATAGACGATACATTAAAAAATGAGTATATCTGTGTTCCAATGAAACGTTATTTACAAAAATAGACAGCTGGCCAGTGGGCTGTAGTTTACCATCCCCCAGTCTATTTACCTGGAGATCAAGTCGGAAGAGATTAGACAGACAGAGCCACTTGCCTTCTTTTGTTTTTCCTGGGAGTATCTTCCTCTGCCCTCACACACACATAGACACACACGCATAGACGCACACACACAGGGAATTGCAGGACAGCTGCTTTACCTTCTTCCTCCCCAGCTGCCAATAATAGTAACTTCAAAATAAAAACGACTTAACACAACATAGAAATTTATCATGTAAAAGAAGTCTAAAGGAAGGCCTCCTGGGCTGCTGTGGCAGCTCTATGGTTCCCAGAGATGCAGGCTCCTTCCAGCTTACCTTTTTACAGTCCAGAATAGCAGCAAGAGCCAGCACATATCCTGGGCAGCAGAACTGAGGAATGGGAGAAGGGCTGTCCTCTCTTTTTTCTTAATTTCTATTTTACTGTAGTAAGAACGCTTAATGTGAGATCTACTCTCTTAAACTTCTTTTTTTTAATTTATAGATAAACAGAATTTATTTTTCACAGTTTTGAAAGCTGGGAAGTCCAAGGTCCAGTGAGGCACATCTGGTGAGGACCGCTTTCTTGGTGGTCAGCAACACAGGATGTTACATGGCAAAAGGCTCTTAACAAATTTTTAGGTGCACAGTACAATATGAGGGTATTCCAAAAAGTTTATGGAAGAATAGAATTAAAAGGTAATACAAATCTTTCGATGAACTTTTTGGAGACCCCTCATATTGTTAACAATAGACACAATGTTGTATAGCAGATTTCTAAAATTTACTCATCTTACATGATTGAAACTTTGTGTCCACTGATTAGCAATTTCCCATTTCCCTCCCCCACCCCAGCCCCTAGTAACAACCATCTACTCTCTAATTCTATGAGATTGACTATTTTCTTTTTTTTTTTTTTTAATTTTTGTCTTTTTTCGTGCCCGGCAACGGATCGCAATCCTCAGTGTCGCGCCCGTACCGAACCGGGACCGGCAACGGGATCACAACCCTCGGCGTTGCTCCCGCACCTCGCTCACTGAGCGGGAACCGGTCTGTATATGGGATCCGAACCCTCGGCGGGAGCGCCACCGGCTCCCAAGCAGCGCACTGTAGCAGTGCGCCACCAGGCCGGCCCCAAGATTGGCTATTTTCAACACCTCACATAAGTGGAATCATGGAGTATTTATCCTTCTGTAACTGGCTTATTTCATTTAGCATAACGTATTCAAGTTTCATCCATGTTGTCTCATATTGCAGGATTTCCTTTTTTTGTGAGGCTGAATAATATTCCATTGTATGTACATAACACATTTTCTTTATTCATTCATACATCAGTGGACATTTAGGTTGTTTCCAGATGCTATTATGAATAGTGCTGTTGTGAACACTGTGGTGCTAATATTTCTTCAATGTTGATATTTTATTTTACTTATTTTATTTTTTAATCTTATTTTTTTGGCGGCTGGCCAGTGTGGGGATCCGAACTTGTGACCTTGGTGTTATAAGGCTGCACTCGAACCAACTGAGCTAACCGGCCAGCCTAGTGCTAATAGTTCTTCAAGATCCTGATTTCAGTTCTTTTGGTAAATATCCAGAAGTGGCATTGCTGGATCATATGGTAGTTCTATTTTTAATTTTTTGAGCAACCCCTATACTGTTTTCCATGTGGCTACTCCATTTTGCATTCTCACCAATAATGTACAAAAGTTCCAATTTCTCCATTTCCTTGCTAGCATTTTCTGTCTTTTGTTTTTTTGATAATAACCATCCTAACAGGTGTGAGGTGATAATTCACTGTAGTTTTGATTTGCATTTCCCTGATGATTAGCGACATTGAGCATCTTTTCATATACTTTTGTCTTTTTTAGAAAGATGTCTTTTCAAATTTGTAGCTCGTTTTTTAATCGGGTTATTAGTTTGTTTTGTTTTGGTTTTTTTGCTGCTAAGTTGTATGAGTTCCTTATATATTTTAGAAACTAACCTCATCAGATATATGGTTTGCAAATATTGTCTCCCATTCTATTTTTCTTTTTTTTTTTTTTTAAAGATGACCGGTAAGGGGATCTTAACCTTTGACTTGGTGTTGTCAGCACCACGCTCACCCAGTGAGCTAACCGGCCATCCCTATATGGGATCCGAACCCGTGGCCTTGGTGTTATCAGCACCACACTCTCCCGAGTGAGCCACGGGCTGGCCCCTATTTTTTTTTTTTTTTTTTTTGATCATTACATACTGTAAACATTTTTGGTGGCCCTTTACCAATTTCTCCCTAACTTCCCCTCCCCCTTTCCCACCCCTGGTGGCCTCAGTTCCATTCTCTCGTTTTGGAAGTTCAAGAAAGGGCCGGCCCATGGCTCACTTGGGAGAGCATGGTGCTGACAACACTAAGTCAAAGATTAAGATCCCCTTACCAGTCATCTTAAAAAAAAAAAGTTCAAAGAATTATCGTGATTGTTGTATCTTTTTTTTTTTTTTTTTTTTTTTTAATCAGCTCCCACTTATGAGTAAGGACATATGGTATGTCTTTTGCTGTGCCTGGCTTATTTCACTTAACATAATTTTCTCTAAGTTCATCTATGTTGCTGCAAATGGCAGAATTTCATTTCTTTTTATGGCAGAGTAGCATTCCATTGTGTATATATACCACGTTTTCCTTATCTAGACATTCATTTATAGACATTTAGGTTGGTTCCATAACTTGGCTATAGCACACAGAGCTGCTATAAACATGGGAGTGCAGGTATCCCCTTCAACATGATGATTTCCCTTCCTTTGGGTATATACCCAGCAGCAGGATTGCTGGATCATATGTCAGTTCTATGTATAGTTGTTTGAGAACCTCCATACTGCTTTCCATAATGACTTTATACTAATTTACAGTCCCACCAACAGTGTAGGAGGGTTCCCCTTTTCCCACATTCTCACCAGCATTTGTTATTCTCTGTCTTTTTGATACTTGCCAGTCCAACTGGGATGAGATGATATTTCAGTTGGGTTTTGGTTTGCATTTTGCTGATGCTTAGTGATGCTGAGCATTTTTCATGTGTCTGTTGGCCATTTGTATATCTTCCTTTGAGAAATGCTTATTCAGATCCTTTGCCCATTTTTTAATCGGGCTACTTGTTGGTTTACTGTTAGCTTGTTTGAGTTCCTTGTATATTCTGGATATTAATCCCTTGTTGGATGCATAGTTTGTGAATATGTTCTTCCATTCTGTAGGTTGTCTTTTTGCTCTATTAACTGCTTCTTTTGCTGTGCAGAAACTTTTTAGTTTTATATAATTCCATTTGTTTATTTTTTCTTTTGTTTCCTGTGTTTTGGGGGTCTTATTCATAGTCTTTGCCCACTCCCTAAAGTATTTCCCATATGTTTTCTTTTAGGAGTTTTATAGTTTTGGATCTTATATATAAGTCTTTAATCCATTTTGAGTTGATTTTGGTATATGGCAAGAGGTACAGATCTAGTTCCATTCTTCTACCTATGGATGTCCAGTTTTCCCAGCACCACTTATTGAAGAGGCAGTCTTTTCCCCAATGTATG